AATGGCTGTTTAGTAGTTAATTATCTGTTGTGTTAGACAGCTATGAAACTTATGAGGCATGAAAGAAGAGTAGGCCCACCTCCCGCAATCATCAGGCTGGAAACCAGGTGATAGGAGTCATGTTATTGAAGACAAGAACAGCAGCGTCCTGAGGAGTCTGTTACTGAATGTAAATGGTTGCTTTGAGTTGCTTGGGCTTATAACCCACATTCCCTATCCTATCTATTGTGCCATCTCCGTGACCCTTAGTCTAGCATCCTCTCTAAATTGGATATGACATCGAGAGTTTATTCACGTTCTTCACAAATATGAACCTCCTTTTTCTTAATTTACTCTTTCTTTGAGTCAGCTGCATTTTAGTCTTTTGACTTTCAAACCAAAAATCCCTTTCTTGTAAGTCTTGTTGGTGTTTAATGTGGTCTGTCATGTCTAAGACCCAGTTGCAGAGATTATACTTTTTTGCAGGTACTGAGGCTCTGCCAAGCTGACTTTGCTTTAATGCATTTTACTGTGAAAAAGAATCCCTTCTCCCAACACATAGGCCTTACTTTTCTTTTCTTTTTTTCCTTTTTTTTTCTTACTTTTCTTTATTCCTGTAGGCTTCTTTGCACTTCAGCTCTGTTTCTTGTAAGCCCCGTGAAATTTAGTGATAGACCTTGGGAAAAGGAATATTCACATGAAACTTGGATTTAGATTCAGCTGGGAAAGTTAATTTTAGTTCTTTTCTCTATTGTAAGGCATGAATGGGTCCAAGGAACCTCTTGTTCTATAATTTCATTTATCCATCATTTTCCCCATTATTTGACATTTTCTTACTCTGTTAATATATGTCAGGGTAGTTTTCATTAAACATAGGGCCTTACTGGCCATTTGCCAAGACACAAAAGTTCTAATTTAGCTTGAGGGATAACAGGTTACAGAGTAGCACCTGCTTTTATCTAGAGTTTAGTCCTAAGTGTGTCCAGTTCCCAGCATGTGCATATTTAGAATGGTTAAGATAACTTAAAAGCACAAGTTGGTAAATTTTTTTGTTCTTTCATCCAACAAATATTTATTGATTGCCTACTATGTGCCAGGCATGATTCTAGGTGCTGAGGAGTAAACAAAACAGACAAAAGATCCCTCCCTTTGTGGAGCTTTTATCCTAGTAAGGAAAGTCCAAATTTAAAAATTTAAGTAAGTGAATTACATAGTATCAGATGATTGTAAGTGCTGTAGAAAAAAAAATAAGGTAGGAGATGGGGGTTAAGAGTGCCAGAAGACCCACTACAAAGTTGACATATAAACAAAGTCCTGAAGAAAGAGAGAGGAAACCATGTAGATACCTAGCAGGGAAAGCATCCCAGGAAGAGAGGTAAGCAAGTACAAACATCCAGAGGCAGGAACAAGGAAGCCTGTGTGGCTGGAGTGGAAAGTGGGGAGAGTAGTAGGAGAAGGCATCAGAGAGGAAATGGGGGCCAGATTGTCTAGGGACCTGTAGGTCATAGTGAGGACTTAGTCTTTTATTCTGACTGATGAAAAGCCATTGGAGAGTTTTAAACAGGGGAGTGACATGATCTGATATATTTTTTAAAAATAGCTCAGCCTGCTGTGTTGAGAATAGGCAAGAGGGAGGTTAAAGGGCAGAAACAGAGAAACCAATTAGGAAGTTATTGTGGTAATCCAGGGAGACATTGTGATGGCCTGAACCAGGGAAGTAGCAAAGGAGGTCTTAAGAAGTGGTGAGCTATTGGGTATCTTTCGAAGGTAGAGTTAACAGGATTTCCCAGCGGGTTGGTTGTGGGGTTTTTGGCCTGAACAACTAGAAAGATGGAATAGCTATTTGTTTTAAAGGGGTATGAATAAGAGAGGGGCAGGTTTGGAAAGGAAATCCAGGACCTTGATTTTTTATTTTATTTTATTTTTATTGTGGTAAATATACATAACATAAACTTACCGTTTAAACTATTTTTAACTGCACAATTCAGGGGTATTAAGTACATTCACGGTGTTGTGCAACCGTCCATCTCCAGAAGTTTTCATCATCTCAAACAGAAACTTTGTACCCAGTGAATATTAACTCCTCTTTCCTCCTTCCCCCAGCCCCTAGTAACCTCTATTATACTTTCTTTCTGTATGAATTTATCTTTTTTTGCTTGTGAGATCTTAGTTCCCTGACCAGGGATTGAACACCAGCCCTGGAAGTGAAAGCACCAAGTCCTAACCACTGGACCACCAGGGAATTCCCGAATTTGTCTATTCTAAGCATCTCACATAAGTAGACTCATATAATATTTGTCCTTTTGTGTATGGTTTATTTCACTTAGCATAATTTTTCTAGGTTCATTCATGTTGTAGCATGTATCAGAATTTCATTCCTTTTTAAGGCTTAATAATATTCCATTGTATGTATATGCCATATTTTGTTTATCCATTTATCTATCATTAGACATTTGGATTGTGGAAACCACTGGCTATTGTGAATAATGCCGCAGTGAACATTGGTGTACAAATATCTGAATCCCTATTTTCAGTTCTTTTGAGTATATACCTAGAAGTAGAATTGCTGGATCATACGGTCATTCTACGGTTAACTTTTAAAAGAACCACCGAACTGTTTTTCACAGCAACTGCACCGTTTTACGTTCACACCAGCAATGCATGAGTGTTCCAGTTTCTTCACATCCTTACCCATGCTTGTTATTTTTCCTGTTTTTTATTTTCGTTTTGTTTTATAATAAGTCATCCTAGTGAGAGTAAAGTGGTATCTCATTGTGGTATTGATTTATATTTACAGGACCTTATTTTTTTCCTGTTTTATTGTGATAGAATTGCGTATATCATTGTATTAGTTTAAGGTTGTACAACATGAAGATTTGATATACGATCTATATATTGCAAAATGATTACCACAATAAGTTTAGTTAACATCCATCACCTCTCCTAGTTACAAATTCAGGACCTTATTTTTTAACTTTGAGACTGGAGGAAATAGCCAAGGTTGTGAATGTAGAGAGAGATGAGGTCTGAGGTTTGACTCTTGAAGTACTCCAGCATTTAAACGATGGGGAACTGAGGAGCAGTCAGTGAAGAAGCAACACCAGAAGGAGAATTGTATCCTGGAAGCAAAGTGAGGAATGTGTTCAAGAAGGAGGGAGAGAAGAATTCTGTCAAGTTCTACATAAATCAATTAAGATGAGAACTGAGAATTGATCGTTTGATTTGGCAGCATGGAAGTGAACGCTAACCTTTACAAGAACAGTTTTGGTGGAATGATGGGAGTGAAAGCCTCTCTATAGTGAATTCAAGAACAAATAGGAGACAAATTTGAGGCACAGTGTATAGATAATCTTTTAATGCATTTTGTTTTGAAAGGAATCTGAGAAATGGAGCAGCAGCTGGAGGAGAATGTGGGATCTGGGGAGTTTTTGTTTTATGGCAGACATTATAGAAAGTATGTTTGTTAATGGGATTGATCCAGCAGAGAGAGAACATTTATTGATGTGGAAGAAAGAGGAGTGAAATGGCTTGTAGTTTTGGAAAAGCGGAGCTGTGAAGTCCTGGCAGGTTTGTCCTCTGCCTTGACACTCTCTAAGACACAGAGAAGAGAGAGCAGGAAAATTGAAGTGATGTGAATGGTGACTGTTGCTGCTCTGGCCTCTGGAGAATTAGGTTTTATTTGTCCCAAAGCACCTCAACAGTAACAGCTGACCCTGCTTTTCTTTGCATTCTAAAGATCCAAAGGATAAGGAAAGAAGAAAGTTTCTCCTTCCATCTTTAGTCTTTATTTTCTACCATGAGCATTTTGAATGTTCATGTGAATATAATTGTGAGTGCCTGTGAATATAAATGTGGCTGATACTTGATATTAAGCTATGTTTTGTCAAAGTACATGCCACACCTGTCCCACACAGAAACCCATGGTATGTGGGCAGGACTAAAAGCCACTGTAAATCCCTTCTGTTTCTTCACAGCTTTGGGACAGAGTAGTCAGTAAAGAAGTTGCCTGTTTATGCTTCCACTAGTTACTGAGACATTTGAATTTTCTTATTTATTTTACTGAAGCGTCCATTTTTACTTTAAAGCCTTTTATATCTTAGAGGACACATCTTAGCAGGTGAATAAGAGTGGAAAATAATTTCATACTTTTTAATTACTAGGAGAAAGGCTCCTCCGATGATGAAGTCTGACCCACAGCCATAGTCAGCTTTTGGGTCGTATTTATCCAACATGCTAAACACAGGACATCCCAAGATAGGAAATAATGAAGTACCTGGTCAGTTGGGCATTGCTAGAGAGCACTTACTGCCAACCCCAGTTGTTCCTTAAGTTGTGATTGTGTGGCCAGATAGTCTTACTCTACGTTCTGTGTCTGTCTTTGCAGAAGGAGTAAAAGTCCTAAGTATTCACACAGATTTGTTTTGTGATATGAGATCCAAAGGAGGCTTCTAAATTATTTTCAGAATTGCTCTACCATTACCTTTTCACCCTAAGTGAGTCTGGAATGCATCCAGCAAAACAACTTTGGCATGTTCATACCTTTCAGAATGAATCATCTTCCTTCCCTTTAGTGAGAGAAGGGCTCTGTTGATTGTTTCTAGCAGAATTTCCACCAATGTTCTATTTTTCTTAAATCTTCCACTGTTTCACTTGAGCTGAACCTGGGGGTGCCTGATGTTCCTGAAGGAGACCTCTGAATCTCCCAACTCACAGTCACTTATATTGAAAGACTAGTCAGTTTTGATTCTCTGGGAAGATGTCAGGCATCTTTTTTGAAGAAGTTGTTTCCATTATAGGAAGTCACAGATGGTGGGCAAAAGACTGTATAAGAATACTGTGCTAAAGCCTGGGGAAAGTTGAAGGTTTGTTCTCGCTTACTGAGCATAATCCTCTTTACCTGACTGCGTAATGGAGAGTACTATTATCAGAATGTTGAGGTGGATTCTGGGACATCCTTTGATCTCTTTGAAATTCAAAATTTGTTCCAACTAGCCTGAACTTTTTATTTTTATATTTCACAGTATCCAGACATGAGTCAAGAATCTGATTCTCCATTTGTTTTCATCTGCACAAATCCCCAGGAAATGATTGTGAAGTTTCCTATTAAAGGAAGTCCAAAAATCTGTAAGTCACAAGCTTTGATGGTCTAATTTTTTTCTTTTTGTCTTGAATCTCACTTGTTTAACTTAAAATTTTTTTTCTCTTTTTACCCTGTTCTATGTCATCTCAAATATTTGGAGGATTAGTTAAATTCTACTTATCATATACCTGAAACTAACACAACATTGTTAATCAACTATACTTCAATAAAAAAAATTCTATTTATCAATAACTTTAATGTTAAGTTAACTACAGTATAGCCTTTCCAAAATATACCTCGATCCACAATTATTGGTATATGAGTGAATCACTCTAAACTTCCATTTAGGACCCCATTACCTTTAAAATCCTATTTGTCAGCCAAGAGTACGTTTGCCCCACTGTACTGTTCTTAGTAAAGGAAGTATTAAGCCAGTGCCAGTGGCAACATTGTCATTTATCCATTGTTCCTCAGTATTCAATCTGAGAATAAGACTTAACTTTTTAAGTGTCTATTTTTGAATGTCTATTTTGGAGGTACCACTTCCCACTATTCCCTTGATTACTGCTTCCTAGAGCTCTGCTCTAGCCCTCTTGCTTTTCATCCTCTTTTTGAAATCTCCTGATGGTTTTCTTTTCTGTAATGTTTGCTTTTATGTGTTTGTGATTATAGTACCCTCTGCATATTCACTTCTTAGGAGTGCTTGTGACTTGATTCTTTCAACTTCCAGCTCTTCTTCAACTCCCAACTCCTCTTTCTCTGTCTAGTGCTACAGCAGCATCTTTTATTTCCAAGGAATCTCAAGAAACATATAGTGGTGTCCTCTTTGCCTAACTTCCCATTTTTTTAAAAAATAAATTTATTTATTTTGGGCTGTGCTGGGTCTTCATTGCTGTGCGCAGGCTTTCTCTAGTTGTAGCCAGCGGTGGCTACTTTTTGTTGCAGTGCACAGGCTTCTCATTGCTGTGGCTTCTCCTGTTGTAGAGGATGGGCTGTAGGCGCGTGGGCTTCAGTAGTCGTGGCTCGCAGGCTCTAGAGCGCAGGCTCAGTAGCTGTGGCGCATGGGCTTAGTTGCTCCGCGGCATATGAGATCTTCCCGGACCAGGGATTGAACCTGTGTCCCCTGCATTGGCGGGAAGATTCTTAACCACTGCGCCACCAGGGCAGTCCCTAACTTCATTTTAAAAACAACATCAGCGGAGGAGCTTCAAGATGGCGGAAGAGTAAAACGTGGAGATCACCTCCCCACAAATACATCAGAAATACACCTACACGTGGAACAACTCCTACGGAACACCCACTGAATGCTGGCAGAAGACCTCAGACCTCCCAAAAGGCAAGAAACTCCCCACGTACCTGGGTAGGGCAAAAGAAAAAAGAAAAAACAGAGACAAAAGAATAGGGACGAGACCTGCACCAGTGGGAGGGAGCTGTGAAGGAGGAAAGATTTCCACACACTAGGAAGCCCCTTCGCGGACACAGACTGTGGGTGGCGGAGGTGGGTAGCTTCGGAGCCACGGAGAAGAGCGCAGCAACAGGGGTGCAGCAGGGAAAGCAGAGAGATTCCCGCACAGAGGATCGGTGCCGACCAGCACTCTCCAGCCCGAGAGGCTTGTCTGCTCACCCGCCGGGACGGGCGGGGCTGGGAGCTGAGGCTCGGGCTTTGGAGGTCAGATCCCAGGGCGAGGACTGGGGTTGGCTGCTGAAAACAGCTTGAAGGGGCCTAGTGCACCGCGGCTAGTCGGGAGGGACTCCGGGAAGAAGTCTGGAGCTGCTGAAGAGACAAGAGACTTTTCCTTGCCTCTTTGTTTCCTGGTGCGCGATGAGAGGGGATTAAGAGCGCTGCTTAAAGGAGCTCCAGAGACGGGTGCGAGACCCCGGAGACGGGCATGAGACGCTAAGGCTGCTGCTGCAGCCACCAAGAAGCCTGTCTGCAAGCACAGGTCACTATCCACACCTCCCCTCCCAGGAGCCTGTGCAGCCCGCCACTGCCAGGGTCCCGTGATCCAGGGACAACTTCCCCGGGAGAACGGCACACCTCACGCTGGTGCAACGTCCCGCCGGCCTCTGCCGCTGTGGGCTCGCCCGGCATTCCGTACCCCTCCCTCCCCCCGGGGCCTGAGTGAGCCAGAGCCCCCGAATCAGCTGCTCCTTTAACCCCGTCCTGTCTGAGTGAAGAACAGACGCCCTCAGGCGACCTACATGCAGAGGCAGGTCCACATCCAAAGCTGAACCCCAGGAGCTGTGCGAACAAAGAAGAGAAAGGGAAATTTCTCCCAGCAGCTTCAGGAGCAGCGGATTAAATCTCCACAATCAACTTGATGTACCCTGCATCTGTGGAATGCCTGAATAGACAACGAATCACCCCAAATTGAGGAGGTCGACTTTGGGAGCAATGATATATATATATTTTTCCCTTTTTCTCTTTTTGTGAGTGTGTATGTGTATGCTTCTGTGTGTGTTTTTGTCTGTATAGCTTTGCTTTTACCATGTGTCCTAGGGTTCTGTCTGTCCGTTTTTTGGGTTTTTTTAGTATAGTTTTTAGCACTTGTTATCATTGGTGGATTTGTTTTTTGGTTTGGTTGCTCTCTTTCTTTCTTTCTTTTTTTCTCCCTTTTATTCTGAGCTGTGTGGATGACAGACTCTTGGTGCTCCAGCCAGGCATCAGGGCTGTGCCTCTGAGGTGGGAGAGCCAAGTTCAGGACACTGGTCCACAAGAGACCTCCCAGCTCCACGTAATAATATCAAATGGCAAAAATCTCCCAGAGATTTCCATCTCAACGCCAAGACCCAGCTCCACTCAACGACCAGCAAGCTACAGTGCTGGACACCCTATTCCAAAAAACTAGCAAGACAGGAACACAACCCCACCCATTAGCAGAGAGGCTGCCTAAAATCATAATAAGGCCACAGACACCCCAAAACACACCACCAGACGTGGACCTGCCCACCAGAAAGACAAGATACAGCCTCATCCACCAGAACACAGGCACTAGTCCCTTCCACCAGGAAGCCTACACAACCCACTGAACCAACCTTAGCCACTGGGGACAGACACCAAAAACAACGGGAACTACGAACCTGCAGCCTGCGAAAAGGAGACCCCAAACACAGTAAGTTAAGCAAAATGAGAAGACAGAGAAACACACAGCAGATGAAGGAGCAAGGTAAAAACCCACCAGACCTAACAAATGAAGAGGAAATAGGCAGTCTACCTGAAAAAGAATTCAGAATAATGATAGCAAAGATGATCCAAAATCTTGGAAGCAGAATGGAGAAAATACAAGAAACGTTTAACAAGGACCTAGAAGAACTAAAGAGCAAACAAACAGTGATGAACAACACAATAAATGAAATTTAAAATTCTCCCGAAGGAATCGATAGCAGAATAACTGAGGCAGAAGAATGGATAAGTGACCTGGAAGATAAAATAGTGGAAATAACTACTGCAGAGCAGAATAAAGAAAAAAGAATGAAAAGAATTGAGGACAGTCTCAGAGACCTCTGTGACAACATTAAATGCACCAACATTCAAAGTATAGGGGTCCCAGAAGAAGAAGAGAAAAAGAAAGGGACTAAGAAAATATTTGAAGGGATTATAGTTGAAAATTTCCCTAATATGGGAAAGGAAATAGTTAATCAAGTCCAGGTAGCACAGAGTCCCATACAGGATAAATCCAAAGAGAAACATGCCAAGACACATATTAATCAAACTCAAAAATTAAATACAAAGAAAAAATATTAAAATTAGCAAGGGAAAAACAACAAATAACATACAGGGGCATCCCCATAAGGTTAACAGTTGATCTTTCAGCAGAAACTCTGCAAGCCAGAAGGGAGTGGCAGGACATATTTAAAGTGATGAAGGAGAAAAGCCTACAACCAAGCTTATTCTGCCCAGCAAGGATCTCATTCAGATTTGATGGAGAAATTAAAACCTTTACAGACAAGCAAAAGCTGAGAGAATTCAGCACCACCAAACCAGCTTTACAACAAATGCTAAAAGAACTTCTCTAGTCAGGACACACAAGAGAAGGAAAAGACCTGCAATAACAAACCCAAAACAATGAAGGAAATGGGAATAGGAACATACATATCAATGATTACCTTAAATGTAAATGGATTAAATGCTCCAACCAAAAGACATAGACTGGCTGAATGGATCCAAAAACAAGACCCGTATATATGCTGTCTACAAGAGACCCACTTCAGACCTAGGGACACATACAAACTGAAAGTGAGGGGATGGAAAAAGATATTCCATGCAAATGGAAATCAAAAGAAAGCTGGAGTAACAATTCTCATATCAGACAAAATAGACTTTAAAACAAAGACTATTAGAAGAGACAAAGGAGGACACTACATAATGATCAAGGGGTCAATCCAAGAAGAAGATACAACAATTGTAAATATTTATGTGCCCAACATAGGAGCACCTCAGTACATAAGGCAAATACTAACAGCCATAAAAGGGGAAATTGACTGTAACACAATCATAGTAGGGGACTTTAACACCCCACTTTCACAAGTGGACAGATCTTCCAAAATGAAAATAAATAAGGAAACACACGCTTTAAATGATACATTAAATGAGATGGACTTAATTGATATTTATAGGACATTCCATCCAAAAACAACATAATACACATTCTTCTCAAGTGCTCATGGAACATTCTCCAGGATAGATCATATCTTGGGTCACAAATCAAGCCTTGGTAAATTTAAGAAAATTGAAATCATATGAAATATCTTTTTGACCACGACGTTATGAGACTAGATATCAGTTACAGGAAAAAAGCTGTAAAAAATACAAACACATGGAGGCTAAACAATACACTATTTAATAACCAAGAGATGACTGAAGAAATCAAAGAGGAAATCAAAAAATATCTAGAAACAAATGACAATGAAAACACAATGACCCAAAACCTATGGGATGCAGCAAAAGCAGTTCTAAGAGGGAATTTTATAGCAATACAATGCTACCTTAAGAAACAAGAAATATCTCAGATAAACAACCTAACCTTACACCTAAAGCAATTAG